TAGCTCATACGTAGTTAATAAGACAAGATGGATTGCCTATTTTTATAGACTTTCTTTTTAAAAAAATTGCTACGTCTCGATTTTCAGTCTGTTTTTAATGCAACAATTCTATTCAGTGCACATTTAAAATGTCCTTATATAATAATTTTTCTGCTTACAATTTTACCTGTCACAGTCAATGTCTGACTCCGGTTGGAAAGAACTTGAAAAGCAAACTCAAAGTTTTGAACTCCCAGGTGAATGTCGCTGTCGCCTAATTTGCATAAGATCGGTAAACAATCGTAGCCTTGCAGAATTTAGCGAAACTATTCCCGATTGCAAAAAAAATTTGGGCGACATTACCTACCTCTTCAGTACGTAGTAGTCGGAAATGCGATCAAGCTCGACACGTCGAGACTGAAAATATCTAAAATTATCTGTAGCTCACAAAACAAAGCTTGGGATTTCAATGTTTAATGATTTCAGATATTTTTTGGCCAGGTATATAAACCAAGTGGTCAACTAACAAAGCAGATCCAAAAAGTTTCTTTTACTTTTCAAAAACATGGTTAGTCTAATTATTCGGGGCGCTTTCCATTCGATGAAAATATTTTGTTTGAGTTTGCAAAAATTAGCAATGACGAATGGAACAGCTTTTTCCGGATTTCTGGAAAAGAGTACAACATCGCATAGTTATGCCCAAAGTTTCTGAAATTTCTTACCCCGAATTTCCATTCCATTTGATATTTATCCCGTAGTTTCCAGGATTTTCAGTTGAATGGTTCGCTTTTCGTTCATCTTCGGAATTTTTGATAGAACGGAAAGTACTCTCGGATTTTCCAGTACAGCAATTCATTTTTCACAAAACCTTAACGTGAAACCGTTAAAAACAAATTATGAATCACGAATTACATCATGAGAAATATCCCAGGTTTGGATGATCGTCTGATGTTTTAAGAGTAATCACGCTGCCGTTTTTGGCTGGGATATCCGGCGGCTTGTGACCTAATTAGATCATTTGCGAAAGAGAAAAATATTTCATAGATTATTAAAATGCTTATTTTCTGTCGACAATATTTTCTTCGGTTGCATTTTTAAACCTTGTAAAATATAATGGCTACACCAAATGTATACTTCCTGTTTGGGCCCTAAAGTGTCACACAAACTAAACGACGTTTCGCTAGGTGCAAACTTCTTGAAACCTAAAAAATGCAACAATACCGAAACATTTTACTTTGTCTGACATTTCAGGACCCCAAAACCACTTCAGTACTTTGTCTACCTAGATCGAGGTGCTGCACAGTGTTACTTTTTACAGAAAACAGTTTTTCAAGTCTTGATGTAGCGATAGCATGCTCGAAGGTTATCCGTATGCGTCCTTGCTTTGTGGGACAACTGATGATTGATGAAGTCGTCATGTTTGGTTGATTCCTATCTAAAAGGATGTTTATTGTCTTTGCTACTGTAACTAACAAACTCACTGACTGGGCTGTCGAACACTATTAGCCATTATAATTCACCACTTTATCGCCATTGGCCAAAATGTATCACATGGCACGATCTTGCGCGAGCGCTACTAAGTATAAAACTCAAACGTTTTCCCACTATTGCCGTTCTGTAAATATATAGTTTTCTTCGTATGCTAGTCTACATACATTGTCAAAAGTGACCGTTCCAATTTTTTGAAAACTATATATATCGTAAAATGACAGGCGCTAAAAGTGGTCATTCATCAGATATTACTGATTATGTGAAAACCACCCACTGGTCACAACATAAATGGGAACATTTTGACATTTTAGCGTCCTGCAAAACTGACTCTCATTGCAAAATTAAAGAGACTCTGTTCATTCAAGAGCTAAAGCCTTCCCTTAATGCCACTGTCAGTTGTGAGAAGTTGTTATTTTATCAGCTGTTACTCCTCATGGTGTCTAGACAGATTAACGTACTGCTACTGTCTAGGTTCCAGACGTCGCATTTTTACGATATATATCTAGTTTTCAAAAAATTGGAATGGTCACTTTTGAAAATGTATGTAGACTAGCATACGAAACGTCAAGTTCTGTATTAAACTGTGTTGGAATACAATATTGATCACCGCTGTTTGCGTTATAGGATTTAGAAAATTTTCTCGTCGAAGCGATTCCAGAAAAGAAATTGAAAGTAGTAGATTTATAATAAAGCAAATAATGTATTTACTCTCGATTTCTATGTGCGATAGTTGACTTTGGCTGTGCACCTCTTAAACTACGATGCGATAGCTAGAAATCTAGAACTCATAATCTAACAGTCCATTTCCAAATTACCTTTAGCCTTTTTCTCAAAGCGAGTCTCGGTACCCACCTTTCATATGAAAATGAGATTTCATTCGCATGCAAATTAAACTCATTTTCATATGGATGGTTGTGCACCAGGCCTCGCTTTCATAGAGAAGCTAAAGGCAACTCTGAAATACCTTCATAGGGAGGCTAAAGGCAACTCTGAAATACTTTCATAGAGAGGCTAAAGGTAATTCTGAAATTGGTTATCGTCATTATATAATAAGTCAAATTATCCTCGCATTTTAATTTGTTCTTACTTATGATCTATTGGAGGACAGACAAATAGCTGACGTCATGAACACTTTGTTTTGTGTTTCTTTGTTATGTAAAGCAAGTAGCATCCTGTGAAACAGACATTGGACAACGTTGTTTCCTTACTCGTAGCACAAAGGAATCCTTAAGTTAACAGTTTAAACTAAGTTCATATCAGGTGGAAAATACTAAAATGTAGATATCTCCTTTTCGTTGAAAGATCTTTGACGATGGTAAATTAATGGAGCGTATGCACATGGCGTCATGGCTGCAACATTGGTGTTCCAAAACAATGAGACGGTGGCCATGTTGGTGTACGAAACCAATCCTGTGGGAGTTCATGTCAACTCTTTTCTTACGTACACTTTCTTTTGCATGACTGCTGGACACGTTCTTGCATACACTCTATACTATGTAAGGCAAATGGCGTTAAATGGATGCTCTCTTTAAAAAAAAAACAAATTTGAAGAGACCTAAGAGACCTGCAAACAATATTAAAACAGCATTTAATGAAAAATTTTGAATTTTCTTTTAATTCCATCCATTTTCATGTCCTCTCCTTCAGACGAGCAAACCAGGTGGCGGGCAAAGGACGCTCTTATAGGATTTCTGGATCCCTCTCCTTTTCCTCAAGGCATATTGCTATTTACATTATAGAACTATGGTATATTTTGGCTTGTATGTCAAAACGGGTACTTAATTTCCCATATGGCGGAAACTAAAAATTTCCACCATTTGATTATCAAAAACAAAGCCTGACACGACTTCCGTTTTCTACCGAAAAATTAAAAACTAATTAACGAAAACTTCCCCACTCATTTCCATGTCAGCTCAAACGGACGTATAACGACTTTTAACCGAGATTCAGTGAAACAATCAGAAGGCACGCGCGAGGGCTGAGTTCGGTCCGTACGAAAAATTAGTGTCCACACACCACGAAGCGCTTTCCTGTCAATTCTTGGTTAAAAAAAAAAATAATAATAAACATACAGACTAGGAGAAATATGACCAAAACTACCACATTACAATGGATAACGGTGGAGTGGATAATTCGACATGGGTGCCATTTCAACTGTAAATAAATCCGTGTGTCCGGCTGATAGCTGGGCAAACAAAAGAGTAAGCAAGAAAGCAAGAATACCTCTTGATACCCTTTGGGTGCTACCCTTGGATGTATCGAGCGATACTAAGACTTCTGCATTTGATTTACGCTGTGAGGCATATATTTGATGCTTTTAAAGCAAGATAATTAGTATATATTTAAATAAGAAAAAGGATCCCATGCATGATCAAACGATTGACGGTGATTGTTGGCCTCTAGTTTAACATATATATATAAAAAATCCCATTAACTTTGCAGAACACAGAAAAAACTTCAAATTCCTATTTTGAAAATATTCAATTCTAAAACAGTTTTTATTTATTACAGTCAGCTGTATATTTTTATGAAAAAAAAAACATTACAGCATCCTCGCAAAATACTGAAATGCAACTCGTATTGAAAGAGTTCAAATTTCAGTTTCAAAAACATTCAGTTCTACATCAAGATCTTTATTGTTACAGGTAGTGTCAGCAGTAATTAGACATACATTTGATGCAAGTCTTGGTAGCCGCGAAAAAGCTAGCAACACAGAAACAGGTCAGCACCACACCAGATACAATGTGGTAAGAGGTGGTAACCCAGAATGCAAACAGGTACAACGTCTTGTTACAGTAGTCAGCGCTCTCTGGATCGGCGTAGTTTGGCTGATAGTTTGTGTAAATCCACACGCTTCCGCAGACGAACCAAGCGAACATGAAAAGTTGAACCATAAGTTGTACTGGGTTTACACTTCTTTCCTCTCCTTGGCTTCCTTCCTGATATCGTACGCCACAGGAACAGCAGTTGGCGACAAGACCACCCGCTCCAGCTACAATCAGGTAAATCGGGATCAGTGGTTCCACTGGGCACTCGTCTTTATAATCAGCTCCTATAAAGGCACAATTCAGTGCGTTATCAATCAAAAGACACAATTTTTAAACGATTATGCACGCGTTGTCACCCAATGCTAAATCTATGTCACGCCGTTCAGGCTGCGATTCTGCTCTGTCACGCTAGCTTACGTTATTTTTGTGACTTACGTTTTATATACGTGTGCAATCTTATTATGATAAAACGCGCGAGAAGACTCGGCTGATCTGCTAACCAGCGGGAGCTGAGAACTGAGAGGTAATAAGCTTTGTTTTGTGAGTGTGACTTGAAACTTTTCACCCCTAAGAGGTACAATTCTAATACAACGCATTAACTCAATGTGCACTCTTTTATTGATGAGTTGTGAATTCCCGGTGTAACTGATTGTCATATATCCCCTGTCATAGTTTTTTGACTTAATACCCTGAAAGGTACCCCGAAAGCTCCCGCTATATATGGACCTTTTTTTCAACCCCAACCAGGTACGACAAGCGCCCCCGTTCTTTTTATATGGGAGTCAACCCCCCTGGGCGAGAAATATGGTGTCTCTCTCCATCTGCCAGGTATCTATCTGCCGATGTACGTATATGAAATCATTTTCAAAACGAATGCAATGAGTTAGTTACTATGTTTGTTTACACTCACCAATTACTATCATTGCTATCTGGAGGGGAAGTGACACCAAACATACAATGCCTGAGGCAGTCAAAACTATGAAAGAAAATGAAAGACGATATTTATTGTGACGGCAAACTGAAATGACAAAGAAATATATAATGCCGGGGTTATCCTACGTGTTGCCAGGAAAAAGAAGACGGCTGCCTGCAAGGATTCCATGTGGGAGATATTTTACTGTGAGTCGTCCTCTCTTGTTGTTGTGTTTTGTTTGATCAACCTCCTGCCAATTAACATAGAAATAAAAATACGTATTAAAATCAAGTCTTTTGCAACGTAATGAATAAGCTAGTAGATACTCAGAACTTGAACTTCCTCGCAGACTTAACAGTTACGAGACTGCGTTAATAAAGTTGTTTCTGTGAAAACATTTTTTTTTTGTTTTTTGCCCATGCAAGCCATCTGCAGGTGGCGATAAACGATGCTCCTTATTTTCGTTATCAATTTGCTCACTTTATGACTCTGCATGCAACGAATCGATCAAATAGAAAAATAAAATGCCCCGGGTATGCCAGGTCAGGAATTTGGGATCGTTGGTTGTTATTGGGCTAAGGAATTTGACACCATATGGGAGAGGAGGGTGATAGTTTGAACAAACTGCCTAGAGATTATGGTAAAAGTAGAAGACATTTGAGACACCGCCATATTCTTTATGGTTGCGTTGCTCAAAGAAAAGGACTGTGTTTGATGGAAGTAAATAGGTTTTGCATGTGAAAATTTAATTACTATTACATCATAGTGTGGTTGAAAGCGCATGTTCGAAAGTGCTTTTTTCTATTTTTCATTACTCATATTTGCTGGGTATGTCTTGAGGTACAATTGAATTGAATTAAACAGGTATTTGATCACCTGATATGACCTTAAGGTGGGGCATTTAGGCACAATTCCGGGGGTGCCCCGGGGACATAAAAACTTTTCTTCGAATTAATCGTCGCACGATGCTATAAATGAATATAAAATCAGTGTGTAATAATAGGACACAAAAATCGCAATAGTAACGTAAATGGCGCGGTATGTCAGTCTTTTGTAAAGGCACGTTTTTGCATATACCCTCTCACTGCACAAATCAGTCATCTTTTTGTAATCAAGTCTAATTTTTCGAGCAAGGTTTACCGAGTCGATGAAGAATTAATTCTCGGTTTTCACTAGTCAGGTGATCAAAACTAAATATCGTCACCATTCAATAAATAAATTCAAGAATCTGGGATGCTATAGATGATTGCTATATAAACAACCTTGCCAAGAATCAGGTTTGTGCTGTTTTTCATTCACCCGTTATTCGCAGAAGTGTGTTACCCAAATTTATATAGCTTTGTATGGAGACACCATGTTTGTGCCCTTCGGAGGGGCACAAACATGGCGGCCGTAAAATAACAAAAACATCTGTCGTTGAGTTTTGCTATTGAAACGAAATTTTTTACTCTAGAGCTCCGACACATTGAAATAAATGCTTCTTCTAGTGCAAGCACCATTTATTTAGCAAAAACCAGAGCGATAACTCATCTTTTGACCTACGCGACAGTCTTTTCGGGCAGCCATTTTCATGTCACGCAACGCAAAAGCTTGGAGTGCTCTATTACAAAAAGAAGAACTCTGTAAAGCTAAACCATTGTCAAACATCACGTTCCTATTGGGTCTGTTATCTGATGAAACTAAAACCCCAGAAGGAAAGATAATTTCTAATTTTGGAATATGACTACGTCACATGAAAACCAAGAATTAAAGTATCAATAGGTTGCTTGCGCACGTCTATGTGTTTTTATGCAGTGTTTGGCAAATCCGCAGAACGGATGTCGATCTTATTTCATTTCGCTAGAAACGAAACGGTAATATTTTGTTTTTTTCGTTTGTCATATTGACAATGTTCTTTCTATCTGTCTAATCACAGACCTTCATAATTCAAAGGAGACAAATCACTCGGGAAAGGCAACGTTTTACGGACACGCTAAAAGCACAGGTATCTTGTCTGATAGCCTAAATAGTTACTACTTATTTAAAAACAAACAAACAAACAAACAAACGAATGTTTTCATGTGTAATTGTAATTTAGACCCCATAGAATGTTTGCTTTCCCGCACCGCCAGACTGGACTTTTGAAAAGTAAAGACAAAGCTAGAGTTCTTTGGTACCTTTTCTCTGGTGCTTCCAAGTTTAATATGCTTTCAATACGTCTGTAAGGAAATCTTACCACCAAGTCAGTCTTTGAACACTTTTTTGACTGATAGCGGCTGGTGTCAAAATCGCGCTTATTAAATGGCAATCATTTATTTATTGACTGATTTGGACAAATATTTATTTCAGATCATTGTTTTAACCAGTTAACTTACTAAATTTCACGAAAAAGAAGGACTATGGGAAAAGAAACATGCTAGGGGCAGTATTTGCCTATTCGATAAAATGTCAAAATTCGAAATGATTTTCTTTTTGTTTGTCCTGGCGTTGATTATATCATAAATCATATGTATTAAACTTGCACGTGTTTCGTGCTTTTAAATTTCTTTCTTGTGCCTTGATGTAATGACGTTTGAATCGAACTGGCTAGCTAGGTTCACCATGATGGATTAATACTTGGGCAGAATTTGTTAAAAGAGTGAATATTTTGAGATTTATGATGTTTGATTCGAATCGAGCATTTTGTTTAGCAACATTTCGTATAACCATAGTCAATAGAGGGGAATGGTTATAAAACCCGACAAATTTCTTTGTTGTAGGTTTTTGTTGGTTTTTTTTTTTTTTTTTNCGTGAGGTTAAATACCCTGGATAACGTTAAATCGATGTTATTATTACCTTTCTCAGGGCAGCTCAACTTTCCCGCTCAGCTGCCCTGACTAAGGCTAGTTTTTTTTTTTTGTTTTTTTTTTTATTTTTTTTTTGCCTTGACCGTGCACAAAACACAACAGTTGTTTACTCCTTACTGAGGAACTAACCAGTAGAAATATTTTGGTTATGTAATTCACGCATAGTGTATAAGCGCAAAACAAAAGATTGTGCATTGTCGTGGACCATCCAACATAAATCTTGGCATCTTTGTTTGCTCCTTTGATGTTTGCCAGGCAAACCATTTCCCTCTATAAACTATGGTATACCAGAATGTGAATATAAGCATGTGGGTTTTTGGCGTGGAAATTCCTGTGCCGAACATAGTATTTAAGATGATTTCCGCAGAACATTCGAGCACTAATGGCAAAAATTAAGTTATCAAAAAAACTCATGGCATGGTGATATTTTGAATACTGTTAAGAAGAACATGTCGAAACTTTAGCTCTCAAGCTAACCCCCCGAGAGAAAATTGAACTCGAGCCGGGTTATCCATATTTCAATTAAAATAGACGTTTCGCGTTAGTTAAAAACACAATAACATATGCTTTAAGCATTCTTACGGGGTTTGACATTAACTTTCTTGGGAATGCTTGAGAATTTAATTGCGGGGTCACTCAGAGAAATAAACAAAGTGAGTTGTTTTCAATAGCATTCAGTAAACAATTTTTGCACTTATTGCTCGAACTTTGAGCGGAATCAGTCTTAACATTATTTAACCAGCAGTAGGAAAACGAAAGTTCATCTCATTTTTGAACAAACCAAAACAAAAGCAAAAATTAAAACGACAAAAAAAGAAAAAAAAATGGCAAAGCCGTGATTATCGTTCGTGACAGTATGCCTGCTGTTCACTTACAGTTTCAGATCCACTTTTATCACTAAAAGGTGTCATACTACTGACAAAAGCTCACCTGAAAACAATGTTACATCCAAATGTCTGAATCCTGTTCGTATAGAAATCGAATATGAAAAAAATAGAAGTAGAATTCCTAGCCTATAAATTACAGATACGCTCAAAGTTATTTCCGATCTGTTGCACTTTCAAGAAGGGAGCTTATAAGACAGAAAAAATTATATATTTTTAGACGGACTTTTTCATGCGTCTTGATTTCGAAGCAATTTTTAATAGAAGATGATTCCCAGAGAACATCTGAAATGTCCTTGTAATAATTTTCTACTTGCATGTTTGCGAGTCACAGCCAATGTCTGGCTCCGGTTTGAAAGAAAATGAAAAGAAAAACCAAAATGCTTGAGTGGCAAAGTATATGGTTTTCACGTTAAGCATGGCTATAGCCTCATTTGCACGAAACCGGAAAACAGTCAGAGCTTTGCAGAAATTTTTCCAAAATATCTCCGCAAGCGTTCTCGAAGTCTTTATTCGTGTTTCAATTGTGCCTCACGTGACTTCTATCCTTGTCTCCCTCCACGAAAGGATAATTTAAAATGAGCCGCCGAGTATATGACGGATATCAGATGCAGCATCTTCATATGCTCGTTACCTATAAATGCTTGACTACAATTTGAAATTACCTCTTTGTATATGTAGAAAAACGGGTCACATTTTACTACATCACGTGACACCTCCCAGTTTTGGCTGCCTAGTGCTACTTCTTAAGAGGATCCATGGGTGCGAAAAATATTTTGTGCATAAAATATATTCTATTTTTAGCTGGGCTGTGACCTAATAAGACCAGTTGTGAAAGAGAAAAACAAATTTAGGGATTATAAAATGGTAAATTTCTAGTAATAAGATCTTACTTCAGGTCAGACTACGCCTTGTGTATTTGTGATGCAGTAGCCACAGGAACACCACTGACCAGTGTAGGATGCCTGAAGGCACAGACAGTAATAGGCCCTTTGCAGTTGGGGTCACCTGACCAAATTTTTCCTAAAAAAATTTTATATTATGGGCTATAACTTAAAGAATGCCAGAAATGGAAAGAGCGCTTCGAAAATTCCAAAATGGCCAAGTTTGAGGCCCCTGGAATTGAGGAGTAAGTTTATACGACAGTTTGAATTTTCGGAAAATTTAGAGGATTTGTATGCAAAATGTTGCTGGAGAGCAAGGTCTTGCTCTCCAGCAACTTTT